TTGTGAAAGCTTTTACCTAAAAGAATATTGAAATGGGAGGCACAGGAATTGCTAGACACAGGTTTAACAGGCAAATACGAGCTGCTAACTCGGGAACCAAGAAAGCTAGAAAGCTGAGATTTTAAGGAGATGTCCCCCGTCCAAGTAGGTCTTGATGAGTTCAAACCCAGTCTCCAGGTGGGCGTGCTTCCCATGTACGGGCTCCAGTTTATTATCATAGAGATAGACTTAAAAGCACGGTTTTAGCAGCATGCTACGTTGTAATGGCAACATGTTAATCACAAAACTTAGTTTGTTTCAATTCATGTTTTTGCTGGAAAAACGGTCTAAGTCGAAAAACAACGTTTATTTCAGCATATTTTTTTCTTTTGCATTAAGAAGTTAGTAGCTAGGGAGGACGGGGAAGAAAGGAACGAAAGGTAGACACAGCTTGGTTCAAAAGATGCCCAAAATAGATTTTGAAAACGTAAAAAGCACAGTGAAGAGGCACGAAATTTTGTTAAAGGCTACAAATAGCGGTTAAATTTCTTAAATTTTAGAACATGAATCGAAAAATTTTATGTGGAAATGCTAAAAGTTCAAATAGCCTAAATGATAATATCAGTTGTCTAGACCGTTGATGGTTACAGAGTATCCTAAAAGGGCCTAGAAATGGCAGTATCGATTTTACCATGGGACGGACGAGGGATTGTCAAATGAATAAATTTCTAGTCACAAATTCAGAAGAGTTAGGATGATTTGAGGCAAATTTTTTCTGCCTGAAACTTTTTCCATCCTGAGCTTAATACACCAAAAAGATCAAAAGCATAAAGTAGCGGCCGATAGAAGGCCGAATCGTACGTGGACAGTCTAAGTAGGATGGCCGAAGTAGGTTAAATTAATTGATTTGCGGCCCTTTGATAGGTCGAATCGTAATTTCTGAAGCAAATGGGCTTCTGATTTGCAGCTATTATCGTGGTACTCACGGTGTAATTGTTGTTTATGAAGTAACAAGTGGTGATTCATTCAGCAACGTGAAACGATGGTTACATGAAATTGATACAAACTGTGAAAATGTCCAGAAAGTCCTTGGTAAGGCAAACATCTTATACCTATCACTTCAGTAATATGCTGTTACTTGTTCTTGCATTTTGCGATGTAAAGTGCCATTTTTTCCATTATTTGTTTTTTGCTGTCTTAATTATGGCTTTTTTCGTTTAGTTTTTATACTTTTCTCGCTGGTCGGTTTTTATTGTTTTCTTTTCATTTCATTGTTTTACTGTTGTAATTCTTTTTATGCGCTTTCTGCGTCTGCGCAGTGCAGAAGCACATATTGCCCGAGGGGTTGTCTGTGTGTATGTGTATGTGTGTGTGTGTCTGTGTCTGTGTGTTCGTCTGTACCGATTTTTCATCTGGAGGCTTCTATGAAGCTACTTAATCTACATGCACGGACGGGCCCCATTCTCAAAATGGACGCTCCTGCCGACGTGGTACCCGCGTACGGGCCTGTCAAAACTTTTGGCGGGAAGTTGCTAACTCGGAAACCAAAAAAGTTCGAAAACTGAAATTTTAAACGGATGTTTTCTAATAATCCTGGTGACCCAGTTTCATTTCTTTTACCTAGAAGTATCTGCTGGGAAAAACAGTGCCGTTAACGACAAAAACCTGCGAGGAACTATGCAAAAAACGCACTTGTGCACCGGCATTCGATGTGCGGGCCAATTAATTTTCGTGTTTCTAGCATGTCGGGTGTTTTTTACTGGAGGGCATGATGCAACGGTAGTTAGCATTCCTCTGGTACTACAGGTCGAAGATTCCATTGGGCCTATGGGACAGTTAGCTCCCTTACGACTTATTCATTTGTTTCGATGGTTGGAACCCCTTGTTCCCTCCCCTCCCAGGAGCCTTTGAGGGGGGT